GTGCGCGCGCGTGGCGGGACCTCGGCCGGCCTCAGACCTCGGGGGCTCGGTCTGCGAGCGGTTCCTGATCTCCCAGTATAGCGCCGACTGACATTGCAAAGGAGGACTCCAGTAGGGGAGAAAAAGAGGGGAGAAAAGCAACGGAGGCCAGCATAGAAGGGACTAGTGTAGACCTTCTGAGCGACCCGGAGCATTGGACCGCGGAGACCCGGGCGGGACCGCGGAGGTGCGGGGCCAGGAGCAGCGGAAGCCGTGCGGTCCGCGGGGCTGAGTTTTCTGGCACCTCGGGTCACGCCTCCTTGGCGAGAAGGCGGGTCACCTGGGATTGCTTGCAGCTACTACAGAACTTCCTGCCCTGGTGGTGAAGTGGGTCTCGCCTGGGTCGCGCTAGCTCCTGGTTTGAGGCGTGGGACTGAGTTCACAAGGTGCTGCTCCCGCAGCCAAGAGGGGTTGGGGAACGGAGTCTGCGAGCCTCCGCGCCCCCAGTGAGTGGCTCGGTGTCGGGTCCTCCCTCCCCCGCATCAGAATCCCTCGGGCTTTGCGCCTCCCTCCCCGGGACCCCTCGCCCGGATATGGCCGCGTGGATGCGGGGCAAGGACTCCTCCCGCTGTCTGCTCCTACTGGCCGCGGTGCTGATGGTGGAGAGCTCACAGCTCGGCAGTTCGCGGGCCAAACTCAACTCCATCAAGTCCTCTCTGGGCGGGGAGACGCCTCTACAGGCCTCCAATCGATCTACGGGCACATACCAAGGACTGGCTTTCGGCGGCAGTAAGAAGGGCAAAAACCTGGGGCAGGTAGGAAAACACCCCCAATGCGCTCTTCAACCAGGAAGGGAGGGACCAGCGCTCTTGGAAAGTCCTTTGCCTGGTGCACCTTGATCTTCCCAGTGCGCTCCCAGGTGTGGCGCGCGGGACAGGTGGGGAGGGGATCCCAGATCAGATCTTCGAGGGTGGAGGCGGCCGGAGGAGGCCGGAGGCTGCTGCAGCTGCTGGAGGGCGCGGAGCGGGCGGGTTAGGGTGCGGTCTCGCCTTTGCATTGGGACATGGGCATGTACAGAGATCTAGTGCCAATGGGTGGGGAGAGTGGCCAGAATGGTCCTTCTCCAAATTGAGCACAGCGACGCTGAGGGTGATGTTAGTATCTAACACATAACAACTGGCCGTGTTCTAAGCGTTTCACATATATTTCATCTTCACAACTCTATGCGCGAGGCGCGGTTACTGCCCCCACTCAGCACCAGGAGAAATGGAGGCACGGAGCAGCAGCTCTTTGCCCATGGCATTCGGCTAGTTGAAGTGGCCCAGCGAGCGGGATTCCAATCCCCAGAGTCTGCGCCTGGGTCCTGGACTCTTAACTATTCCCTTTTACAACCCTGAGGAGCGGAGTGCTTACCCCCTTTCAGGTTCTTCTTTCCTCTCAAACGCTTTGTCTCTGCAAAGAAGTAAGGTCCCAGACAGAAGGCTTCAATAGGCGCACATTTCTCACGCCTGCAGAATTGTAAATAAATCACGCGGGAGGAAGCAAAATAAGGAAATGACAGTGACAGCATCCTAGGCGCGGCCGACCGGGTGCCAGGGATGTAGCAAGGAAAACCCCAGGGGCATTTTTTTGCTAGAGGGAACTTTCCGTGGGCGTCTCTATGTCTCTGTCACACAGACAGATAGATTGACAGTCACATGTAAACAGTTACACAAACAGACGCTCACAAAGACAGGAGCGCACGCACTCCACACCAGCAGTGGTTGGCGCGCAGCGGCCAGGAGAGGGGGCCCTGTGGGCACTGGGAGCCACGACAGCTCCTCCTTCTGCTCCTTTTGTAAGAAGCCAAAACCAAAAGCCAGTTTGCCAAACAGCACAGGCACTTCGCACAGCACAGCTGTCAACCCATGAAGGCAGCTCAGGGCACCACATACCCGGGTTTCCTTGTTTCATCAAAGGAGCTCACTGCAGCCTCTCTGTGAGCTCTGGGTGTCCTCCCTGCACCTTCACCCCAGCGCAAAGGGCAGGGTGAAGGGTGACAACTGGGGCCAGTCCTGGCTGACAGCCAGGGAAGACTTGGCCCATGCTTGGCCCCCGCCTGCCCTCTCACGGGACAGCTTTGCTAAGTTTGCAGTTCCAGAAGGCTTCCTGGGCTTTGAAATGTCAAACATTTCAGCTCTCCTCTCCAAGGAATACAAGGTCTGCAACCACAGGATGTTTCTTAAGGTCTCAAGGGAAATAAACTATACATATGCATACACACTACACACATACATACCCTTTGCATATGATCACGCGTCACATATGTCCACACATACATGACTGCTATCCTTTTGCTCTTTCCTCAGAAACACCCTGGCATTTTCAATCAGAACGAACTTAACATATTCTTAGAAGTCCAGCATGAGATGGGGCAAAGGTTGTAAAGAAAAGATGCTCTCAGTTCAAATCAGCAGACATCTCTGAGGCAACTGACTTCAAATTCTACCTTATCAGCTGTTGAAAACAGATTGTTGTTTAGTTCAGCCAAGGACAGAGGAATGGACCCAATATTGTTTAGATTCCTTTTGATTCCAATCCATGCTCATTCAGTAGGTTTCTGTAGAGGACTTTCTGTTTCCATCACCACTGAACCCCAACTCCCGATGTCCCTCAGTCAAATTATCAGTTATGTCATCACTAGACATGGGGTTATACGGACTAGACTGAGGGATGCACCTCAGAACCCAGCTTTTCCTTTATGTTTTGATAGTACGTTTTTATATAAATATGCATAAAATGCCTGTTTATTTTCCTATATCTCTAAATACCTGTTCCTTAAACAGACTGCAACTCTATTTGAATGTCTTTATTAAACTAAAGGTTTATTTATTTTAAAAATGAGTTGATTTTTTTGGGGTTGAATTACTCATGCTCGCTATAACTTAGTGGTACTTCAGAATATATTTTATTATATTTATTTAACTGCGATATTATATCCTTAAAATTTGTCCTTAGGTGTTTGTAAGAGATTAAAACATATCAGAGATAATGGTAACATAAAATAAAACCCTGAACTGAATTGCTGGAAGATAGCTGGGAAATGGGAGGGCTGTCTTTTGTATATTCTGGATTCTCACTTGTTTAGCGGGGGATGGCAAATGCGTACTGTTGTAAAGAAACAAACAGAAAAATCTCTCTTCTTTGAAGTAGCAAGAGGATCCTTTGAATATTTATGAGTTTCTTTATTTTCTAAATTCCATTAGTTTTGTGGTCACCAAAATTCTTAATACTCTTATTTTTCAACAATGGAATGACAATTAGAAAAGACTATTCAAAAGGCAAGATGTCACTTCCTTTTACAAAGGAAAACTCTAGAATTGAAATGTAGCTAAGCTGAATTTTTATTCACCATAATAGAAAAATATGAATGGTTGAGAAGTCTGGAAGTAAAGTGTCAAGTGGCCTAAATTATGTAGGGTCATCCTGAGGCCTGGTAAGTTCAATTCTCTCCCTTTCCCTCCATTCTTGACTGATGGATGCTGAAATATATGCATTTCAGAGATACAGGAACAAGGAGCTGTAGGGTGCAATTTCAAGTAGGCTTATTAGACACTTACTCTTTGGCCTTCTATTCTGTAGTGAAAATTGTCTACTTAGGTTTTTTTTTTCTGATATACTTTCAGGATAGAGTCTCAATATAAAACATATATTGCCATTGCAGAGGAAACTATCCAAGACATTTCATAACTTATTAATCTACAAAAGAGAAAATGAGACCGAATGGGCCCCAAGGTCTTCTTGATTCACTGTAGCTTGTTTTCATATGAAGGAAACATTCTTACTGATAGGAATTCTACTTGTTATAGTCCAGGTGGATTATTTGTAAATCACTCCTTAAAAATGTGCCTTTGAATTTCAGAAACGAGTTGGAGGGCTCTCAGAGAAAACGCAGTTTTCCAGAGGTGTTACAATTCTCATTCTTAGGTTTGCGTTCAAAGAAACAGCTATGAGCTATGATGGAAGCTGACGTAGAAAATTGAATGTGCAAATATTCAGGGGATTGTACAGAAGTAGTAAAAATGTTTTTACTGAATTATTCACATTCGTGTGTTAATTTGACTTTCCATCTGCATCCATTGTTAATGAGTTTTAAGAGGGACTGTTTTGTTAGGACTGTTACTAATATATATGTGTGTCAATATTTATATACTTTAATTTCTAAAGAGACTATTGCAAATTTTCTAAATCAAAGGTCATTTTAAATAAAAAATTTAATATTATATGGCTAAATATATTCTAATTAAGTACACTGTTGCTTGATATCACCTCTGGAATTTGAGATTTCAACTTTACAGGATATCTTAAAAATAACTTTAAAAAAACCCGGAAATTTATAAAATCATTTTACCTTTGCGATACACAATGATTTTTTTTTTTTTTCGGGAATGAAAAACCTTTTGTGTTTGTGTTTGTAATTGCTTCTTTCAGTCTTCTTGCTTTGTTTTTTTTTTTTAACAAAAGATTAATTGATTTGAATGCCAGGCTATAGAATTTTAAAAAGTTATGAATAAAACTAAGGAAAATAATTACATTTTAAAGGTAGATCAGCTTCCTAACATGGGTCTCTACTAACAAGCTGAAACTGGTTTACTGTAAATTCAGATTCCATGATTTTCTAATATAACTTGGACCTTTGGAGGACAGTGGTTTGGATGAAGTTATGTTGTGAAAAAAGAATGTTTGAAATACATTGAAACAGAAGCTACAGGAAGTTGGTTAGAAAGCATTAATCTTTGTATACTGCATTTTCTTTAATAAAAATGGTGTATCTATTTGCATGTACAAACACGCATGAAAGTGCTTCCTCAAATAAACCACATGCTCTATTTTCTATAGGTCATCTCCTCATTTTCTGAAATTATCCATGATTTTTTTAACCCCAGCCCAACTTTTCCTCGCTGGAGAGTAAATATCTGCTACCTCCCGTGGACATCAATTGACACTAAACGAAATGAGGAAAGCAAATCATTTTGAAATTTTCCAAAATTAAAAGATTTTGAACCAATCCACACTGAGGTTTCTTTCCTTTCACTGTGAATGATTGAGAATTGATGATAGTGGATACAAGTGGAAGGTCACCTTATGAATAGCAAGAAAAGTATTTTAATGATAATCTAAGTATGAGCATCCATCATTTTATTTTTGCGCTAGACTAGAGAGCAAGGGACACGGTTACTTAAACTCACTCCAGCTGTGACTTGGACCCTACCATAAACTTCCTTAGTGCTTCCCTCTGACACAAACTCCTTCCCAGGATGTTTCAAACCTTGTATTTTTTAAAAATAGAGAAAGCAATATAATAGAAAGGTAACTGATATATTGTGTTCTAGAAGAATATTACCACTTCCTTTTATTTTCCCTGCACAATCATTTAAAATGTGCATTAAAATAATCTGTTATATTATAGAGCCCTTTTATAATACTCAATATATTTACCATTTCAACTCAGTCTCTTCTGAGTTAATTTCTTGGTATTGATGTAACATCAAAATAAATTACAATTTTATTTCTGTAACTCCCTGATGGCGCTTTAAAGTCATTGTACTTTATTATACCTCCAGCCACTTGTACTCATCTACAAAAAAAAAAAAAAAAAAAAAAAAAA